TATATGTATATACACACACACACACACACACTCATATATATTATACATATACATATATACACAAATGTATCCACATATACATATATACATATACACTTACTATATATATATATATATATATGTAAAATTGTTCTACACATACTTCTATTTATCAATTCTTTTTCTGGATGCAGATAACATCTTTCTTCATATTTCCTTTGCAGTTAATTTGGGTAATTATAACAGACAAAATGACTTATTTGCTCAAATTCATTCTTAAAAGAACATTGCTGTTACAATATACAGTGTTCTCTTGGTTCTGTTCATTTTTCTCTTCCTTACTTTGTATGAGTCTTTCCAATTTTTTTAGGCATTTGAGGTTAAATGACTTGCCTAGGATCACATAGCTAGTGTCAAGTGTCTGAGGTTTGATTTGAACTCAGGTCCTCCTGACTCCAGGGCCAGTGCTACATTTCCATGTCTTTCTAAATTGTTGAGCTCATCATTTCTTATAGCACAGTAGTATTTCATCACAATCATATACCACAACTTGTTCAGCCATTTCCCAGTTGATGGGCATCCCCTCACTTTCTAATTCTTGGCCACCACATAGAGAGCCACTATAAATATGTTAGAACATGTAGGATCTTTTCCCTTTATCACCTTTGGAAATATAGACCAAGTATTTCTGGGTCAAAGGGTGTAGATAATTTAATAACTGTTGGGGCATAATTCCAGGTTGCTCTCCAAAATGGTTGAATTAGTTGACAATTCTACAATGAATATGTCCAATTTTTTCCACATCCTCTACATTTGTCACTTTCTCCTTCTATCATTTTAGCCAATCTGGTAGGTGTAAAATGATATCTCAAGACTGTTTTAATCTGCATTTCTCTAATCAATAACAATTTAGAGCATTTTTATATAACTAGAAATTGTTTTCACTTTTTCATTTAAAACCTGTTCATATCCTTTGACCATTTATCCATCAGAGAATGGCTCATTTTCTTAGATATGTTAATATTATACATATATATTATTATATATGCACATTATATACATACACATGTTAGGCACTATATATATATTTATAAATGCTTTATTGTCTATAGTACCTTTTATCAAAATGTAGTTACCCTGTTTATCTCTTTTAATTATATCTGTTTTAGCCATAACTGTCTAAAATCATAATTGCTACCCCTGCCTTTTTTTCATCAGCTAAAGCAAAATAAATTCTAATCCAACCCTCTGCTTTAACTCTGTGTTTGTCCCTCATTTTTAAATGTCTTTCTTGTAAACAACATATTGTTGGATTAAATTTTTAATCCATTCTGCTAGCCATTTCTATGTTATAGTGAGTTCATCCCATTCACATTCAAAGTCATAATTACTATCCCTGAATTTCCCTCCATCTTATTTTTACTCACTATTTTCCTTCCTATCTTCTCCCTTTACCCTCTTATTCCTTATTCTACCCTCCCCTCCAAAAGCCCCTCCCTTAATCTATTTATCCCAACCTCTTAATCTTAATACACCCTCTAAAAGTCACTCCCCCAACCACATTCCCCAATTTTCTTACCTCTCTAGAAGTTCTGAACACTTCTAAACCTCCTCAGATACATATGTCCTTTTCTCTTCAATCCAGATGAGAGTCAGGTTCCAATATTACCAGCCCACCACTCCCATCTGCTTCTTCTGTATTAGTTCTGCCTTTCATGCCCCATTTTTATGAGATTTCTCCTTTTTTGGCTTTTCCTATCAAATTTTGTTTTTTAGAATCCCCTCATCATACACAACACAGCTCCAACCTTTCAGTCAAACTACCTTAATAATGAAAAGTTTTAAGAATGCTATTACTAACAATAATTACTAATATTAATAACATTTTTATATATCATCAGTAAACCATTTGACCTTAATCAGTGCCTTTTTTCTGATCTTTCAATCAAATTTTCCATTGAGCTTCTGATTTTTCTTGTAAATATCTGAAAGTCTTTCAGTTCATCAAATATCCCTTTTTTTCCATTCAGAATTATACTCAGCTTTGCTGGACAAATTATTCTTGATGCAACCCCATCTTCCTTCCTCTTTGAAATACAAGGTTCCAAGACCTGGAGTCTTTTAGGTAGAAGCTGTTACAACTTCAGAAATCCTGACTGCTTTTTCACACTATTTAATTTTGGTTTTTTTTTCTTGTTGCTTGCGATATTTTCTCTTTAACCTGGGAATTTTGAAACTTGGCTTCATATGATGTGCCTGTAAGTTTTCTTCCTAGGATCTCTTTTAGGTGGTGATAGGTGGGATTCTATCTATTTCTACTTTACCATCCTGTTCTAGAATTTCACAGTAATTTTCCTTAATAACTTCTTATAATGTTGTATCCATATTCTTTTTTCTATCATAGCTTTCAGGCAGTCTGATAATTCTTATGTTGTTTCTTCTCAATCTCTTTTCCACATTAGTTGTTTTTCTAATTAGATGTTTCAGATTCTCTTCTATTTTTTCTAGTTTTATTATATCTTGGTGTCTTATACTGTCAATGCATTCTGGCAGGGTGTGGGATCTGCCCCTCTCCCTTGAACTTTCCCACAAATTTCAACCCCAGCCTCTGAACCAAGATCCCTGGCATTTCTCTGAGGCATCAGGCTCATCCCAGTAGAATCCTTTTAACTGTCCTTTCACTATGGCCCAGAACCAGCCCAGCCCTTCACTCTCTATTACCTCTGACCCAGTCCTTGAATTTTCTCATTCACTTCAGTAGCCCAGATCACTGGTGCCTCTGCCCAAGGCATCTGTCCCACTCTAGCCCACTTTGATTATTTAATTAGTTTGCTCAACACCCCTCAGTCCCATCCAGACCCCCTTTCTCTGTTACCTCCCAGATCACCCCAAACTACTTTCCACTCTTTGATCCCATCCAAACTTTCTTGCAATATTTTTTCCCTATAAAAATATCAGTCTTGTCCTTGTCAAACGCACAGACTCAGTAGGAGTCTGGCCTGCTTGTATTGACATCATAAATAAACTCACTACTTTGACTGGAAGGTTTGAGTGGTAGAATTCTTTTGAGGCAAACTCATGCCTTGTACCCTTGCATTTCAGGGTTCCCTGCACCCATAGACCACAAAAATCTACTTGCCCAATTCTAGTTTTCAAGGAGTTATATTCTTTCTTATGATTTTTTTTTCTAATTGCTTAATTTTATTTGCATAATTTCCTTGGATTGCTTTTATTTTTTTTCCCAATTTTCTCACTCCTATTTGATTTTTGAATTCCTTTTTATGTTCTTCCAAAATTTCGTTTTGGACTTGTGACTATTTGACCTTACTGTTTAGTGCAGCAGTGGCCTCTTTTTTTTTACTTCATTATCTTCCTCTGAATATTGAATGGTATGTCCCAGTGAAGTCTCCTCAGTGTAATTAAAGTTTGGGATAAGGCTGAGTAGGATGAGGTATCCATGAAAACTTCTTAGAAGAATAAATAGAAATTGTATTAGACTCAAGGAAGGCATAGCAGCCTGACAGGCCTAAGTTTAGGTTTATTAGAAATCACCTGATTTATGGGAATCCACCCCCAGGTGCCCCCCCACATGCTATTGTTAAACCTTTGAAAACTCTCTGTATTATGTTAATAGACCTGTTGCTATATTTAGGTCATGTGACCTGGCTATACAGTACAGTGTCTATTTGACTGCATATTTTAATTGCTTCTTTGGTATTACTACAGCAAACTAAGAAATATAGATATGTGTATTGTGTTCCTTGTTTTGTTTTCTGTTTCTATGGTACATTGAGACTCTGAGTCACATACTGGACAGTTGGTGGAGGGGTGAACTTGCCTGTTAGGGTTATTAATCTGGTTCTTAGCTCTTGTACTCTATCTCCTTTCATCAGAGCATACTGGTGAGGGACACCAAAATCTCCAGATTTGAAATAATAATAATAATAAATTAGCTTTCTGTTTCTCCTTGGATACCTCTGTGTTTTATTTTTTTTTAATTTGAGTGGCATCCCACACATATAACCCAGATCTTTTACACCAAGTAGCTATCCCTGGTCAGATTCTTTTTCCTTTCCTTACTCATTTTATTTTTAATATATCTTTTTCATTTTTAGCAGCTTAACATTATTATTATCAAGTTTTAATCCTGAGTTGTGGGTAATGTTGCCCTAGGCTCACATCCTTCTTACTGTTTTTTCTGAATTCTGTCTTGGGGCTCACCTTCAGGTATTCCCTCTTACTCCCCAATCCTCAGCCACACTCTCCTAAAAATAGTCTCCCTCCCTGTGGTACCACACCCACCAGACCTGTGCTTTCTGCTCCTCCCCCACAGACAGCCAGGAATACTAACACTACTAGGCCTGACTTCCAGAAACAGCAGGGGTCCTTCAATCTTCCTTACTCAGCTGTCTACTGTTCTTTAGAGAAAAGTGTGAGGTAAAAGTTCCTGAGGTGAAATTTCCTGAAGCTGTGAATGGTGAGAAGGTGATGGGGAAATTTCTGAAGGCCTAGTCTGCTTCCCTCAGGGCCTACTATTTATTGATTTAATGAAGTCTCCATAGAGGTGTTTACATTTCACTCAGACCAAACCTCAACCCCTGGAATCTTGTCTGATCCTCTCAAAATGTCTTAGGAGAACAACTGCTTTATCCCTTTCTTTTCACTTCTCTGTGGTAATTCACTGTTTCTTTGTGGAAGAAATCTGGAGAGCCTGGAAATTTCTGATCTATTTTATCATCTTCCCAAATACTTTTTGCATGATCTTGTTAGCACAATCTTTAGTAATAAGATCATATAGCCATTCAAATTATACTGTGAAAATGTGGTATAAGGTATTGGTCTAAACCCAGTTTCTGCCAGATTGCTTTCCAGTTATTGCAGCAGTTTTAATCAAATAAGTAATTTTATCCTAGTTGATTAATGTTTTCTGTTTTTATCACACATATTTATTGAGTTCTATTATTTCTAAATCTTCCTTGTCTAATCTGTTCCATTTATCTCTTTCTTTATTCCTTAACCAGTAACAGAATGTTTTGATGACAACTGGTTTACAAGTATTTGGGGTCTGGAAGTGCCTTGGAAGCAGCAACAGTGAGAACAGTTTCAGGACCTCTCAAGCTAGAGTGGAAAGTGGAGCAGAAAACTTCAGGGGGTGGGGCATTTTACACTGTTTCTCTAATAAAGTCTCATTTCTCAAATATATTGGGAACTGAGCCAATGTGTTCAAAATAACAGCCATTTCCCAATTGATAAATGGTCACGTGTGGGACAACGGAGAGTTTCTTATATACAATGGAAGCTATGCTCGAAAACTGTAGTAAGGCTTTAGCATAAGCTGGGCCTAAGTTTCATTTTCCTGTAAATCTCATGTTTGGGGGAATAAGGTCCTGTACCAGTGCCACCCCTCCCTTCTTTTCTACCTTATCTTTGCCAAATAAGCAATCCAGTTTGTTTTGGGTAAACAGTATCTCTTAATTCCTGGGTAAAGCTGTTTGTCTCTTACCTCAGCCAACAGGATAAAGAGATTCAGGTAAACAAGTGAGGAGGGCATTTTTCCTAGAGTTGTTTGTCTGAGGGTGTATAACTGCTTATTTGCTGCTTGTATCTTGCCTCCCTACTAGTCTGTCTGGGTAGGTGATGCCCAATTCTCGAACGAGACTTGCTAGAATAAAACTTCTGTTTTCTACCTGGAGAAACCTCTGAGTTTTTATTTGGGTAAGTGGTCTCTATCCCACTCAACGGGGGGATTCCCCGAATTTTCTTTGATTAGGGAGGGGCTTCCCTGCTGAGGTCAAACTGAGTGTGCATCCAAGATTTCTCAGAGGTCTTGAGCCCAGGAAGGAGGTTACCGCCCAGTCATTGAAATATACCTGAAAAGAGGGACTTGGAGAAAACGAAGGCTTGTTAGGGCTCCGACAACTAAAAGCTGACAAATTCCAGCTGGCCAGTGGGTTAGAGCAGTCACTTAAGTTGTATGAGTGCAACCAGGGGTCTGGAGGTAACTGGCACAGGGTGAGGGCCCTTTAGGGTGGACTCTAGTTTAGATGTGGTCCGGGCCTACTCACATTGCAGAACCTCATCTAAAGCACTCTGCTGACAAAGCTTCACAGGTGACTGCTGAGGAATGGGCAACCCTCCTCGATGATTTGGCTGAATGTTTAGACTTGGGGAGTTCGGTGACAGCTTCCGTAAATTCCCTAGGTGAGGGCTTAGGGGTTCCCTGAGAATGAGACAGGGACAGTCTAAATCTGTGCAGTCAGAGCACAAAAATATGAGGTACCTATAGACAGTCCTTTATGCAATCGATTGCAGAATTGGAATGAACTACCAAAATATAGAGGAAAGGATAGGAAGAACATGATTAAATATTGTTGTTTTATCTGGGGCAGAATGGATATCCCGGATGGCACTGCACGGCTAAAATTGGGATCCTCCGAAGATTGGATATGCCAAAAGCTAAATTTATATGTGAATGCTAAGGAACATTTTAATCAGGAGGAAAGTTCCTATGCAGCACTCTGAATGACAGAGGTGCAGAAGATGTTGGTGAGGGACAGGGAAAGAATTAGGGACCATATCTTTATACAGCCTTACCCTTGGGACCCTGTCCTTTCCCTACCCCCTCCTGCTGGGGAGGCTTCTCCTCCTGATCCTCCTAATCCTAATCCTGGTCCTGTACCAATTCTGGCTCCCCCTAAGGAAGACCCAAATGGTGATCTTATCAATTTACAGGAGTCTCCCCGAGGGCCTTAAAGAGGGGGTTGAAACAGCTCCTGAAAGATGAGGAGAACCTACCTCTTGAGCCAAAGCAATTAAATTTGTTCCCTTCAAGGGAAGCTCCTCTGCCCCAAGGGAGTTTTGGGTTTGTGAATGCTCCTTTGAGCACCACTGAGGTCAGCAGCTTTAAGAAAGAAATGAAAATCTTGATGGAAGACCCAAGTGGCCTCTCAGAGCAATTAAACCAGTTTCTGGGCCCAAATATTTATACTTGAGGTTAAATAATGTCCATTATGAATGTCTTATTCTCTCATGAGGAGAGAGGAATGATTAGAACGGCTGCTATGCTAGAATGGGAACAGAGGCAGACCAAAAATATCCACCCTTGACCCTAGGTAGGATGATAACAATGTGGCTCACACAATGCATAGGCAGGATCTAAGGGAATTAATTATTATTAGAATTAGGAATGCCACCTCAAAACCCCAGAATATAAAGAAAGATTTTGAAGTGGTTCAGAAAAAGGACAAGTCACCAACAGAGTTCTTAGAAAGATTCAAAGAGAGCACAGGAAAATACTCAGGCTTAGACATGAATGATCCCACCACAGAGGCAATGTTGAAGTTAAATTTCATGACATCAGCAAAAAGATTCAAAAGATAGATAGGTGGAATCAACAAACCTTAAACAGTATACTTGAGGAGGCTACAAAGGTTTATGTGAGGATAGATGAGGAGAAACAGAAACAAAAGACTAAGTTCATGGTTCATACAGTCCAAAATGTTACTCAGTCAGCAGGAGAGTGGAAAAGACCCCAAAACCAGAAAGAGAGTGGAGGGAGGGGAAGGAGAATGCAAAGGCGATGGGAGAAGAAAGGGAGAGAGAGTCCCTTACTTGCTGGATGTGTAAGAAGGAGGGACACTTGATGAGGGTCTGCCCTCCAAGGCAGACTGAACAAAAGTCTGCTCTCTGATGGAGTTAGAGGATTAGGGTGTCAGGGGTTCATGGAAACAGCCCACCGGGAGCCCTTGATAAATTTAAGGGGGGACCAGAAGGGAAGAGATGGTATTTTTAGTGGACACTGGGACCAGGTTGTCCATGACTCAACTGCCTGTGAGCAAAACTATCAAAAGAAACCCTCACTATTTCTGGAGTAAAAGGTGAAAATTTTGCTGTCTCCCTCTCTGAGGTTCTGGAGATTAAATACCAAAGAATGATCATCTCCAGTCGGTTCCTTTTGGTCACAGAGGCGGGAATAAATTTATTGGGAAGGGATTTGATTACAAAATTAGCTATTCAGATGGTAACTAGGGGAATCTGGATATTTTCAGTGAATGTGTTGGTCTTCAGAGAGGAATAAGAACAAGAAATTCATCCCAATGTGTGGGCGCGACCAACCAGTAGGGGAAGGGTTAACATAACCCCTCCTAAGATCAAATTGAAGGAGCTCATTAAACTGTTGAGAGTAAAACAATATCCTATATCTCTAGAGGGAAGGCTAGGACTTAGACTGGTGATTCAGGGGCTATTAGAAGCGGGATTTTTTGAACGCTGTATTTCCTCCTTCAATAATCCCATCATACCGGTCTGGAAACAGGATGGAACATATAGACTAGTCCAAGATTTGAGGGAAGTTAATAAGGTTGTACTACCATCCCACCCAGTGGTTCCTGACCCCTACACAATCCTGGGAAGAATAAATGAAGGCAGTAGGTGATTCAGTGTTAATAGATTGAAAGGATGGACTTTGGGCCTGTCCCTTAGACCTTAGTAGTAAGGACATCTAAGACTTCAAATGGGAGGATCCTGAGACTGGGAGGAAGCAGCAGCATAGGTGGTGCGTCCTGCCCCAGGGGTATACAGAATCACCAAATTTATTTAGACAAGTCCTTGAAAAAATCCTGAAAGGGTTTAGAGCTCCCCTTGGGACACAAGTATTACAATACATAGATGATTTGCTGGTGACAGGTAACAAGAAAATAGAAACTAGTGAGGTCTCAAGCAAATTGACAAACTATTTGGAATCAGAGGGTTTCAGGATTTCCAAGCAAAAATTACAATTTGTGGAATGACAGGTGAAATGTCTGGCACATCTAATCATGCACTGATTAGACAGGCAGAAGAAGCTAGACCGGGAGCCCACGGCCAGAATCCTTCAAACTCCCCTCCCGAAAACAAAGAGGGAACTCAAAAAGTTCCTGGGATTAGTAGGATACTGTAGAAATTGGATTGACTCATATGTGTCCCTCACAAAACTTATTGGAGGAAGAACCTGAGCAAATTAGATGGGGCCCTGAAGGAGAGGGGGGATTTAAGAAATTGAAGGAAGTCCTCCCCTCCCCTCCCGTTTTGACGCTCCCCTCCCTAAAGAAACCCTTCCGTTTATTTGTAAATGTAGGCAAAGGAGTAGCACTGGGCACTTGACCCAAATAAGGGGAGGCCAGAAGAGACGTGCGGCTTTCTTATCAAAAATCTTGGATTCTGTGGCTAGAAGGTGGCCAACCTGTATTCAAGCTGTGGCGGCTACTGCTATACTGGTGCAGGAGAGTAGGAAGCTGACCTTTGGGGGATGCCTGACAGTGAATGTCCCCCATCAGGCGCAAGCCATCCTGAATCAAAGGGCAGCGAGGTGGCTTACAGATTCAAGAATTCTCAAATATGAAGCCACATTCCTGGAGGAAGATGATTTAATACTGTCACAAGATAATAACTAAAGTCCTGCCTCTTTTCGGACTTCAGGGGCCAAGATGTATCTGCATTAGAACACTCTTGTGTTGACTTTATTGATCTTCAAACCCGGGCCCAGAAGGATTTACAGGAATCCCCTATTCCCAGAAGAATCAATTTGTTCACTGATGGTTCCTCTAGGGTGGTGGAAGGGAAAAGAAGAAATGGATATGCTATCACTAATGGGGATCAAGAATACTTGGTGGAGACAGGAAGTTTACCAAAAAATTGGTCTGCCCAAATATGTGAACTATATGCCTTAAACCGGGCATTAAAATTATTAAAAGAAAAGGAGGGTGATGTTTACACTGATTCAAAGTATACCTTGGAACTGGTACATATTTTTGGGAAAATCTGGGAAGAAAGGGGAGTGGTTAACAGTAAAGTAAGGAATTAGCACATACTACTTCAATTAGTCAGATCTTAGAGAATCTAATGTTGCCTGAGGCCATAGCAGTAATACATGTGGATGGTCATCAATCTGGGCAGTCCTTTGAGGCCAGGGGCAATCACCTTGCAGAGGAGGAAGCAAAAAGGGCAGGGATGACAGAACCTGAGCTGCTTAGTCTCATGTTACTTCTGATCCCCTCTTTTCCTCCGAGTCTCCCTTCTCCCTCCTTTACCACAGAAGAAAAACAGAAGGGGCTGGCATTGGGGCACA